TAGGATTTTTATTTTTGAAAAGTTCATATGCAGTTTTCTTTAAAATAGGCCTAATCATTACTCGATTAATAACATAACAAGCAGTATTTGTGGCTTCCGCCCAAAAATACTTTGGCAAATTGTTTTCACAAAGCATGGTTCTAGCCATTTCTTCTAAAGTTCGATTTTTTCTCTCAACAACTCCATTTTGTTGAGGGGTTCTAGCTGCTGAAAAATTATGGCTAATACCATTAGAATTACAAAACTCAGTAAATCCAAGATTTTCAAACTCAGTTCCATGATCACTCCTAACATTAGTTATAGAGTAACCTTTTTCGTTTTGGATTACTTTTGAAAACGTGATGAATTTTTCTAATGCTTCATTTTTAGTACTTAAGAATAGAACCCAAGTATATCTAGAATAGTCATCTACCAAGACAAATGCATATTGTTTTCCACCCAAGCTAGTAGTTCTAGATGGCCCAAAAAGATCTAAGTGGATCAATTGTAATACTCTACTAGTTGACACATCATTAATGGATTTAAAACAAACTTGCTTTTGTTTTCCTTTAGCACAAGCATCACATATTTTATCATTATCAAATTTTAGTTTAGGCAGCCCTCGAACCAATTCTCCTTGAACTAACCGTTGCAAAACACTCATGCTAGCATGTCCTAGTCTCCTATGCCATAACCAACTATCATGCTCATCTTTTGCAACTATGCATAAATTAGTCACATTAATAAAATCTAAATGCACCATGTAAATGTTTCCTATTCTATGACCAATAAGCATAATCCGATTAGATGCAATGTCAATAATTTTACAACCATTAGTTTCAAACATGACATTGAATCCTTTATCACAAAATTGACTAATACTCAAAAGATTATGCTTTAATCCATTCGCATATAAAACATTTTTAATTTGTATGGAAGAGGTATTAACTATTGTACCTATACCTTCAATGTGACATTTTGAATTATCACAAAAAGTCACTTCTCCTCCATTTTTGGCGTTAAGCTCTATGAACCAGTTTTTGTCCCCGCTCATGTGTCTCGAGCATCCACTATCAAGGTACCATGAATTTGAATTTGTTTCCCGTGCCTTGTAGCAATGCTCCTTTCCCTACAAACATAGATTAATTTTTGATTTTTGGTACCCAAATTCTTTTGGGTCCATATTCATTAGTTTCCAAAATCCTAGTCCCCTTAGGTATCCATTTGTATAGGATATCTTTATCTTTAGTAGTAATGAGTTCTTTAGGAGCCCACATACTTCTAACGATTTTTCCATTAGAGGTTCTTTGGGGACCTCTATGATTGTAGTTTTAAAATCTTTTCTAACAAAGTTGGATTTTGAATTTTCTCCTTTTTCAAAACGTTTTGTTCCAACTTTATCAAAAGAAGTTTTAAGATCATCAATTTTCTTTTGATGATCATCATTAACCTTTGAAAGTAAATTTTGCAAATCCAAAATTTTCTTTTCAAACTCTTCTAGTTTGATTCGCAAATATTTGATTTTACTTTCAAGATCGTTGTTGGTTTTGGATATGAGTTTGTTTTCATTTTTCAATTTTGAAACATCATTTTTATATTTTAAAAACAATTTCTCATAATCCGAAGCCAACCCATTATATTCCTCTAATAGCTCATCATAGGATAAATCATCAAAATCAGATGAGTTAGAGGTTACCTTAGAATCTTCCCCGAATGCCATCAAGCACAAGTTTGCTACTTCTTGTTCCTCTTCATCGGAACCTTCTTCATCCCTCCATGTAGCCACATGAGTATTGTGCTTATTCTTTGATTGACCCTTTCTCTTCAATTGTGGGCAATCATATTTGACATGCCCCGACTTTTTGCATTTATATCAAATGATCGGGTCCTTCTCTTTTGGTTCATTTTTGAGGCCTTCATTTCGTTTGAATTTTCTTCCTCGGTAAGGTCTCATCATTTTTCTGAACCGTTTGGCAAACAATGCCATTTCCTCGTCATCGTCATCTTCATTCGAATCACTCCCATCTTTTGTGGATTTGAGAGTAACTCCAATGTTTTTCTTCTTCTCCTTCTCCTTTGGTGTCTCATCAATCTTATCGAGGTCCACCTCATCTTCAAGCATCATTTCATGAGTGAGGAGGGAACCGATTAGTTCTTCAAGAGTTAAGGACGTTAGGTCCTTAGACTCGATGATTGCCGTCTTCTTTGATTGCCATGATTTTGGAAGGGAGTAAACTAACTTCCTCAAAAGCTTTTCATTTGAAATGATCTCTCCATATGATTTGAGACCATTGACAATCGTTGAGAATCTATCCGTCATAGCTTTGATATCTTCATTTGGTTTCATCCTGAAATTTTCATAGTTATACGTTAGAATACTAATTTTAGATTTTTTTACCTCATTAGTACCTTCATGAGTGACTTGAACATTGTCCCATAATTCTTTGGCGGTTGTACAAGATGAAACTCTTCCGTATTCATCTGGTCCAAGAGCACAAAATATGATATGAATGGCTTTAGAGTTGAGCTGGAACAATCTTGTCTCTCCTTCACTCCACATTCTTGGATGAGTAAGAGGCTTGATATATCCATCTTCTACAACATTCCATGCTCTCATGTCACTTTCTTGAATGAAGTACATCATCCTATTTTTCCAATAGGCATAGTTAGCCCCATTGAAGAAAGGAGGCTTGTTGATGGGCATCGAATCGAGACCGGAGTCGAAGTTTGAAGTGTAGGTCATTGATGACTTTGATTATCGATGTAACTCTTCCCAAATTGACTCAAGAGGCGATTAAACCTTTAAATGAGTTAGGCTATGATACCAATTTTTGAGTTAATCGATTGATGGAATCGGCCAAGAGGGGGTGAATTGGCAATTAAAAATTTGGTGGAAGCTTTTGCAGAAAATTGAAAGTAATTGCACAGCGATTTAGAGTGGTTCGACTTTCTCAACCAAAGTCTACGTCCACTACCTTAGCTATCCACACTAAGGATTTTTCACAAATTCACTAATTTGTCTTTCTTTTGAGGACAAAGAGTAACCTTACAAACCCTCAAGAATTATACCCCAAATTCTTGAGAACACTCTCTCCCAAAGAGAACAATACAAATTTGCAAACTTACAAGGAAATCCTCACAAGGTAGATTGTTTGCACAATTCTAGAACAAAGAAAAGAACACTTAAGAATGAATAAAATTGAGTACAAGTAGTGTTCTTGAAAGCAAAATGAATATTGAATGAAAAATAAGCTTGAAATGCTCAAACTTGAGGTTTGATGCTTTCTCTTTGATTCTCTCTTGATTCTAGTTGCTTGTTGTTGATCAATGGCTTCTAAGTTTGTTTAAATACACCTTGAATCACTTCTGAACGTTGGGGATCATTAATGAAGTTATTGGAGCCGTTTAAGTGCGAAAACAATTAATATTTATGCTTGGAGCGTGGGGGGAATCGGTACCCCCCTCATGGGGAATCGGTTCCCTAAGTGTAAAATTCAAATATTTCGACCGTTAAACAGGGGGAATCGGTTCCCTCCGAGCATTCTGTTTTTCTCGGAGCCAAACCATTCAGGGGGAATCGGTTCCCTCTGAGCAATCTGGAATTTTTGGCTTTGAAATGGTTCGAAATATTTTGTAAAATTGTTTTGAAATTATTTTAAGATTAAAACTTAATTTTACACTTGAGTAAGGATTAAAGATGACATTTGAAAGATTTGGAGTAATATTTTGATATTCGAATAATTATATTGAATATACTTAGAAAATCTTTTTGGAAAATCTTAAAATTCATTTAACTTAATTTGTTATATCGAAATATCAAAATGTTTTCAACATTTTAGATATCTTATTCTGGTTAAAGATAGAAAAAAATTGAAAATGCAAATTGCAGATTCAAAACAAAAATGAAATTACTTTAACCATTAAATCCAACACCATATTTGAATATAATTTACAATATTTTTATATATTTTAATTTTTGTTAATGGAATAAATAGTTCTTAATATTCATTAATTGTAATTTACAATATTTTTATATATATTTTTAATTTTTGTTAATTGAAAAATAATTTTTATTTTAATTAAATTAAATCATGATTAAATTGAGATAATGTATAAATATTAAGGACCAAATATGCAATTAGACCAAGCTTTTTAACTGCCACGTCACCTGCTTTGTAAGAAGTTAACAAATAATGGCTTTATTAAAGTATTTAAATAGTTAGGTAGTCTGATTAATTAAATCGAAACATCTGTGATAAAAATGAAAAAGATAAATAATTAGTAATTTACTCATAATTATTTTAAGTCGATGAATTCGGTTGGGTGAGACTTCCAATGCATTAGGGATTACTAAAGGTCCAATCAAAGATTCGGTCCGCAGTCATAGTATTCCTAACCAAAACGACGTTATTAGGATCGATTATGCAAATTAGGGTTTCATCAGCCTTGTATATGTTCAAAGCTCCTTTCTCTACATCTTTTGCCTTCAAACACCGTTCAGGTCTGGCTTCCTCGCCCATGTAGGGCATTGGAAAATACAATTTTTTCATATAGGGCTCTACCCAAATTATTTCTTGAAATGGGATATTTGCTACAGTGACCTCATTGGTCGCCAAGTGCTTCATAGGTCGTCAAGTGCTCCTTGCAAGAAAGCCTCCTCTGTTGCAGCTTTTCTTCTCTCTTCCCTCGCTGTTGTAGTTTAATAGGTCGTCAAATGCTCCATAGGTCGTCGTGTGCTCCTGAATACCTATGGAGGTCGCCATGTGCTCCTGAAGACCTATGGTGGTCACTGTAGCAATAATCTTACTTAAGCAAATAATTGTTCGACTACACTATGTGAAGAATTTTTTTTCCATTGCATTATTTAAACACTTTTGCCATTCAGATCTCTATCTCCCCCTCCCTCTGTCTCTGTGAAGTATCATGTTCTCGGTCATTTATATTTTTTAATTAATATTTAAGGCTTGATTTTGAAATGGTAACTCGGTGATTAAATGCAGGTAGGGATTAAAAACAGAAAGAGTGAAAATGGTTGAGAAAACAAGGGGAAGAAAGGAAGAGGTGGTGACTAGAGAATACACGATCAACCTTCACAAGCGACTCCATAGCTGGTAATTTAACTGTTTATTTTTCTATCCTTTCATTCAATTCTTGGTAATGCACTCTCTGTTTTTTGGGTGTTTTATTGGTTTGGTTCAACTTAGCTTCTCGCCATCGAATATCTTTACTTGATTTTATTGATGTTTTCAACGTGCGGATGATGTTTATCAATTCTATTTCTACTTTTTACTCCCAGTTGTTTGTTAGAAGTGGGTTAACTATTATAATCAACAATTTAATTTACTAACTATTGGCCTTCCATGGCGATAAGAAATTAAACGCAGGTGGGTGTGCCAGTGATCCTGATATTCATGATGCGTATATCCATGTTGTGGTTGTTTGATTTTTCATATTATATGGATTATCAGATATTCTTATCCATTCTATTTATCTGATGATCTGATTCGAAAATTTAAATTTTTTATTTTCTGATAATTCAGATTGTATACCTGAATTTTTGGATTGGATAAACGGATTGTATTTCTTTTTGCACACCCCTAGTTTGAAGTACTTTATGTTGCTCCGACCCATTTTTTCTGTAGTACCTATCCCTGAACAATAATGAAACGTGTACAAGATATGGTTCTCACAGGACTCTTCAAAATACATGATAATCTTGAAAAATTTGAATATATTCATGTCCGACTCTCGCACCCAAAAATGGAATGATTGAAATATACATCTCTCATTGAATTAATGGAGACTGGAAAAAGTTTACCTTTTTATCTTTGTTGGTAATGTTTGAAACAGCACATTCAAGAAGAAGGCTCCCAAGGCAATAAAGGAGATCCGGAAATTTGCAGAAAAAGCCATGGGGACAAAGGACGTAATAGTTGATGTGAAGCTGAACAAGCTCTTATGGAGAGGAGGGATCCGAAGTGTCCCGAGAAGGGTTAGGGTTCGCGTTGCTCGAAAAAGAAATGATGATGAAGATGCAAAGGAAGAACTCTACTCTCTGGTAACTGTTGCTGAGATCCCTGCCGAAGGACTGAAAGGTTTGGGCACCAAGTAATTGATGACGATGAGTAATTTATTGATTTTCTAGTTTATGGGAACTTGAATTTCGTTTGAGACCAAGAAGTTTACATCAGAGTTTTAGATAAGTTTTGCAGTAAAAAACTCGTGAGACATAATATTTTCCTCATACATTTGGTTCATTTTTCTTTAACATTTTATGCTTTAATTTGTTTACTAAACATGCTACCTTTATGGTAGTTTTCAGCAATGAATTCCGAATCACAAGGCATTTTTTCAAGCAACCAGTTACACGTATACTTCACATAAGCTTCAGCACAGATCATGTCATCCTGCAAAAACATCAATTCTTTGATTCAGCTTCCATGTGGAAGTTTTTAAGATGGAATTGATGAATGTAAAAAGAGTATTATTGTTGATGGGAAAATTGGTCGCATCGAGGGTATGCGGCTGTTGGGAAAATATGGAGTTTCGGGAAGCTTTGAGAACTTCAGAGATTATGAAACTTTGAAAACGTTAACAGATTTTGAATGCCTTAATGCTCTATTGGTGGGAAAATGGGTACATAAGTGGTGCTTTTTAAAGAAAATTCAGAGGAGGTACAACAATTATAAAACTATTGCCAGAGTGGCTTTCATACATGAAGATGTGCAATTTGAGGCTCCACCATCCAAAATTCAGCCAAATGCCTTGATGTATGAGACTGTTCAGCTGGAAAGGTCGATCCAAAGCGTATACACATTACGAACAGAGTTTTCATCATGTAGTTGGCCGGAAACTGTGAAAAAGCCTTGATGTCCAATTTTACTTTTCATCGTAGTCAGTCGTGCGATCCTTCTGCCTTGCTTTGTTAAGTTACGCCATCGATGCACCCATATCTGCCTTGCTTTCTTTAGCATCTTTGAGTTGTTTAAGAGCCGCCCCTCTCTCACTCAATTCCCCTACAAGCTTCTTGGATAATGCAGATAAAATCTTAACATATTTTTTCATTTTTAATATTATATCCAACATTTAGTTTAACACCTAAATCATTAGTTTTGGTCCGTTTTAGTACTTAAATTTTTATTTTTTTTAAAAATTATACCTAACATTTAGTTTTTGTTTTATTTTAATATATCGACATTTAGTTTTGGTCATAACCTTTTTTTTTTAAAAAAATTTCATTTAAAAATAATTATGACTTTATTTTGAAAATTTGGATTTTGTTTAATTTGAAATTTGGAGTCGCCATCAACATTTGGGTTAGATAAGTCAAATACCAAAAAATGTCTTTTAAAACGATTTTAAGAAAAAATATTTTTAGACAAAAATTGGTATGTGTTTTTCAAAGATTCATTTTTAAAAGTTCGGGAGTCGATTACGTGTGGGTAAGAGTAAGCACACCCACAACGTCCAAAATTAGTACATAATCACTTATACTTTATCGTGATAGTGGTCTGTGTTTCTTCCTTTTCACTAATGAAAGCTTTAACCGAAGAGATCCTCAATATGAGGCTTCGAACAAAAGTAAAGGTTTTTTTTTTCTTTTTTTTATTTATTTTGGTTTTTTTAATCCTCCTATGTTTTTCCATCCCCTCCTTTCTCTCATATCTATTTTTATTTATGGTGCATCTTTGTCAGTCGTTTAGTGGAACAAGAATCCTCGCTGTAGGGAAATAAGTTTCCTAAACCAAGCATATCAACATCCCTGATTTCTCAGGATTTTTTTATTTTTTAATGGATTGTTGGTTAGATTTGATTTTTTATTGACTTCTCACTATTTCTTTCTTTGATTTGGATGGATTTGCTGACGGCAATGGCTTGATGTCAACATCGATGAGAAGCCGAATGGATTCTCTGACAGTGGTGAATGTGCCAGGTGGCTAACCCTAAATTTAGGGTTAGTCAAAGTGTGTTTAGGTTGTGGGCTTTAGGTTTTGTAATTGTAACAGACCTTCAAAATAATAAAACAAAAAATGAAATAATATTAATGATAATATTAAATAAATAAACTAATAAAAAATGACCTAGACAAAAATAGTGTCAATAGCTTCCCCTCTTTGTCCATTCTCGTGTTAATGAGAATAGGACAAAGATAAAAAGACGATGAGTTTTTGTCCGGTTCCATCTATTACATTGAAATTTGACATTGTATTAAGAAAGACTAAAACAATTAAAAACTCAAGGGAGATGTTTTCAAAATTTTGTATCAAAAGAAACATTCTCAAAATAATTGAATTTTAAAATGTTAAAAGTTTCACTTTCAAGCGAAAGAAACTTTATGCAAGACATAACTTGTTTCAAGAGAAACAATGTCGATGATTTGAGTTTCAAAATAAACTGTCTCGAGCGAGACAATTAATTTCAAAAGAATTTATCTCATGTGAGATAAAATTAATTTCAAAAGAAGTTATCTCATGCGAGAGAAAAATAATTTCAAAATAAGTTATTTCATGCGAGATAAGATTTTTGCTCTTGAGAACTTTCTTAAGTGAGACAAAATGTGTTTAAGTTTGTTTCAAGAGAAAGCATCTCAAAGGAGAACAACAATCTTTTCCTTCGCATTGAGAAAATATTGTTCTTTGATAATTCGACCCTTCTCTTAAGGACATCGGGTTTGTTAATGATGTTGTTCCTTCGTGTTAAGGATGACTAGTTACAATTGAATGTTTGTGCATCTAAAAACAACAATGTTCCTTCACGTTGAGGAAGTCTGATTGCCTGGAGATAATTTGATTTTGGAAATGATATTGCTCCTTTGTGTTGAAGAGATCTAGTCGCTTTTTGGTGATTTGCTTGATGTCAAATCTGATTATGACATTGTTCCTTCGCGTGAGGAGGTCTAGTTAGTGGATCAAAAAGGATTAATCCACTACTTTTAGTAATGAGATAAACCTTCCACATCCTGTTTGAAAAGGTCATATGTTATGATTTTATGTGTGTCATATGCAATATGTCCTAAAGATGATATAATGCAAATTTTGATGTGATGTACATGAATGTTAGATATAATTCTGCAAAATCCAATCTTGGAAAGTTGGACTTCGCTGACTTTAAGTGGCCAATTTTCAGTTGTAGTAGACGAGATCTTCTTTATTGCATGTGCTTAGTGGTTGTGGTCCTTGTACTATTGGTGTTTGGATGTGGTAACCACTCTTTTAAACATTGTTTTAATTTGTCTTTTCTGATTTAGTCAGAGACCAAAACCATTTGATTAGTCAACTTCTAGACAAATTTCAACTCTTCTTGAAATTATTTTATTGATTGAGATCCCACATGAGGCATCCCTTACAATTCTTGACTTATATCAACTTGCTTTTTCTTGCCCAAAAAAAATCTGCCCTAAAATTGTCATATTTTCTTACCCCAGTTTTGATGATGAGTTTCTATGTTTGAGAAACATTTTTCAAAATTCAAGATCTACTTATTGAGATTGTCTTTTTTGAAAATGTTTTCCTTCCTCTTTATATTTTTCAAAAGGTGAAAAAGTTTGATGATTTTTTTTTAAAAAAGATGCCCCTTACTTTGGGTTCACAATTTAGACAAATTATAAAACACGAGTTCATTGAATACCAAAAGAATCAAATGCTCTTTTAATCCTTCAAAAATTATGGCCTTTTAACAAGTGTCAAGATTAAGGCTAAATTTGAGGTTTAGGTTGATTTGGGAAGTTGCTAGTATTTTTGGTTGGCTTCTTTGGTCAGGATCTAGCATTTTCTATTCTATAATGTGTATTGATCTGATGAAGTAGTTGTTATACTCATATTTTGGAGATGTTCACTGGTTTTCATCTCTCGTGGTTTTTTTAGGTCATATGATGTCTTATCAAGAGATTTATAAGATCACCTCCTATGCAACAATTATACAATCTGCGTATTCGAGCTATCTTTTCAGGTTTTCTACTCGAATCCTCCTTTGGTTTCAAGACGTCATTCGAAGCTTTACGTCATGAACTCCATTTTTTATTTTTCATATCATGCATTAAAGATTTTAGAAAATATTTTACAAATAAAAGATTAATCTTGAGAGGGAGAATGAAATCTAGAGATTCTATGTTCTTCTTAGAAATCAATGCACAATTAGAATGGACGTTTTAGGCACATAATATAGGCCACAATTCATGGTTATGAAAGAAATAGATTAGTAGGCCCAAACAAGTTTTTAAGGGTGATTAAACCAAGTATCAATTCGTTTTGATGCCTTCATTCTCGTTTTGCTTGATTTGAATATGCTTGTAATATGCCTTTTATTTCCTTTTATTTTCTGGATCACTCTAGACTTCCCATTTATGGGTTTTCACCCTAGAGTTTATTTTATTTTTTCTATACTTTTGGTGTTTTATGATCTTATTGTGAATTGATTTTGGATCTTTGAAGCAATTATGCTGATTAACCTTGTGGTTTGATTCTCAACGAGTCATTTTATTTGATGGGCTCTTTGAATGTGTTTCTTGTCCTCTATATTTGATGAATTTAAGACTTCAATTGATTTGATCACTTTCTTGTCCTCTTTATTTCTTGCATTTGGAACTTATTTTGTTCTTCTCTATTGGACTTGATCTTTGAAAATATTGTAATTGATCCACCTTATGGTACCTAATTATTTCTCACTTTATTTTACAAAGACTTGTTCCTGTAATAAAACATGGATTGATGGTCTTCACTCATGCGAGCAGATTTCCTTCACTTTGCCCTCCAATGTGGAGGCGATCCTTGGTTAGGGTTGAATCCAAAGAAAAAGAATTCAGGTTCAAATGTAGGCAAGAATGGATAAATATTTTCTCCTTTTTTGAAGGGATAATGAAAAAAGGTCATTCATCATTTCATACATAAAAGTCCTTGCGGAAGAGGTATCCTTAGAGGGATAGATTTTCAAGATTAACTTTTATTCACATGAAAACAATATAATTAAAACACGATGGAATTATTTCAAACATTTTTTCTTCTTGGTTCTAGCATGTCTCAATTTATTCTGGCTTACTTTTAAAAACTTGTTTTTTTTGGATAAGTTACTTTTAAAAACTTGATTCATGATGCACCATCTCATTTTCCTTATAGG